GGTTTTTTTTTTTTTTTTTTTTGGATCTAGGAAATTTCACAGCCTTAATTCTCTCAAGGAGGCAAATAATGAAAAATGGCCAGTTGGTTCAGAACTTTGGTTTTGAAAGATTTTAACGGCTTTTTTTCCCTTTGTCAGTAAAATGTTCATAGGCAACAAGAAATGAACTTATTACTCAGAAATTTCTTGTGCTAGCTGCTAGAATTATCTCCACTTCTCTCATGGAATGGTATTAATGAAATCATTATTGAGGTTCTGATTTTGTTACTTTTGGAAGTGCTAATGTAGGTCTCTTTACTGTAGTGAACAATGAACAGTGAACCGGAAAAAAACAACTCCTAATAACTAATAGGCATTCTGAGATACATCCAAGAAACTTCAGTCTTGCTTCTCTCATGGAGTTGCTTTAGAACTTTTGTTTTTTTTTTCAAATGTTACAGTAGGCTTCTTTTCCCTCTGTCCACAAAGTGTTTGTTGGCAACAATAAATGAACATTACTGAGACATTACTTATGCTCACTGTTGGCGCTGTCTCTACTTAGTTTCTGGGACTGCAACTAACAAAATCATTCTTGGGCCTCAGAGAACATTGCTTTTTGAAGGCAAATAAAGGCTCTTTTACACATAATGAAAAATGCAAGTTGAATTCAAATGAAAGACTGATTATAACACACACATTTTGTGAGATACATCCAAGAAAGTTCATAAACTTCCTGCTCCTAAGGTGTCAACAAAAACACGTTCATTTATTCAGAACTATTTAATTCTTCAATGTCTATACAATAGACATCTATTCTCTTTATCAATGAAACATTCAGTGTCAATTTGATGGCGAATTTGAAGAAATTCTTTGAGATACATCCAAGAAATTTCACAAATTTACTTCTTTCAAGGAGTCAAATAAGTTGCTAAGAATGGACCACCATCGAGGGGCTTTTAGAGATTTTTGCCACCCAAAGTTAACAGACTTCATGCTAAATGCTATCCTTGGGAGTGTTTTACAGATTTGGAAATGTACCCTGGAGAATAGATTTTTAAAAAGTAGTTATGGTGACTCTGTGAGGTCAGTGTGTATGCTGAGATTTTGGTCTCTGCCACTAATCATGCTGCAAGGTCAGGGTACATACTAGACTTTGACATCCACTACCAGTTGCCCCATGAAGTCAGTTTGTGCACTGAGACTTTGAACCACGCCAAACCATACCCGTAGTCATCCTATGAACATAACAGCACCAATAACATTTAAAACATGAATGAATGAAGTGGTTATAGATTTTATTTAGTTCTTTCTTAGGATATAGAATGACTCATAAAATTAGTTACAGGAAAGCAATTGCCATGAACACATACAGCACAGTTACTTATTAAAACATAGTACAACATAGTATCTGAAGGTGGGTAACAAGTATAGCAAATCACAGACACAGGCTACCAGCTTGCCAATAGACAAAACGATATAGAAACAATTACATGAAAACAGATATGCGGTCCTGGAGAAAGGGTACAGTGGTTCAGAGTGAGTATTGCACATGCAGAGGACCCGAGAGTGTGGTTCCCAGCACCCATACGGGACAGTTCACAACTACTTGTAACCCCAGCTCTAGGGGATCTGACACCCTCTTCTGGACTCCATAGGTATTTGAAAGCATAAACCATGCAGACACACACACACATACATACATATATAAATAAAGATAATGAAAAGAAATATGAACACTGCAACAGTGTTTATGTTTAGTAAGCATTCTTTTAGTAGAAACAAGGTAGATTTATCTCAAAGATATAGAGCTTAACCTAAACACTGAGAAGGGCCCAGTAAATTGAAAACATAGAAAGTAAAGTCTGTTATATAAAATTAGGTTAATGGAGTAAGGTAGTAGGAAATACTTTTAAAATCTGTACGAACATCTCAAGTGAGAAAGTGTGCAGAAAGCCTGAGTATTTGCAGAGAGCTCCATATAGAAAGTGGGTAAAAGAAAGGGCAGCAGCACTGCTGAGTGCAAATGTGGCTGTTATTTCATGCATTTATTGATGTTATTTTTGAGCTGGGGATTTAGCTTAGTGGTAGAGTGCTTGCCTAGCAAGTGCAAGGCTCTGTGTTCAGTCCTCAGCTCTAGAAAAAAAGAAAGAAAGAAAGAAAAAAAATCCATGCAAAACAAAATAACAGCAACAAAAACCAAGGTAAAAGCCAGAATATGCCTTTGGAAATCTGTATCTTGAAAGGATGAAGTGAGGGGTGTGTACAGGAGGAGTTGGAGGAGGGAGTGGATATGATCGAAATATATTGTATTCATGTATGAAATTACCAAAGAATATATGATAAAAATAAAAAATAAAGAGTGTAAGAGTTTTGGCTGGAAGGGCAGAAACCCTGGAAATAGATGTGGGGGGTACAGAGGCAAGGGTAGAGAAGCTGCCCGCAGCTCAGTCCATCTGGGCAATATCTCCCAAATTCTCAGATTGGCATACCACTAAGTTTTAGGGAGAGAAATTCAAGAGAGACGTGCTGAGTTGAATCATCCTTCAAGCAAGAGGTTTATGAATTCTGACAAGAGATAGTATAGCAGAGGTGGGAGGGTCTGAAGGAGTTTTAACCCTGCAACACAAAACAAGGTGTCTACTTTTAAAGGTTTCTGAAGGAAAAGGAGGACTTGCATTTGAAGAAAGCAGGTTTAGTTAACACATGGTCTATGTGACCAAGGTAGGTGAGTGGAGCATATATTACTTAGCCTCCATGACAGGAGTAACTCTTTCTCTGGGTAGGGGTGAGGGGCTTGGTTAATGTCTGACTCATATGTGGCAATAGTTAGGCTTCACTGACTTCTATGTGCCAGAGGGGCTGAGTGTTTTCTTGCTGTGCTCGCAGACCCTCTCTGCTTATGTCCTGGTTCTCTAACAAGCATGCCATAAGGAAGGTTATTGAATAAAATCTCAATGCCAGAGTGGGTTACTTCCCTATGAGTTGTTGCCCAGGGAGGCTCCAAAAACCATAAAGGCCACACGGTTTTATGCCATACTCATATATTAAGAAATTGCTAAAGATTTCAAGTGTTAGCTGGACATCAGAGACACTAGACTAGGACTGAGTTGGAAACTTCCTTCAATCTGGCTATCACAGTGCTGGAAGGCATTTTGAAGGTTCCTGGGGAAGAACTGTTCTGCTTGGCTGTGGAACTTGTGTGCTACACTATCAACATGCCAGAAAAGATGTGGTCACTGGTGGCATGATTCTTATGGGTGCTGATAAGGAAAAGGCATATTCTTAAAATGAACTATACTCTTATATAATATCCTTGTAAGCTTGGGCCATTTAAAAGTCTACTTTTGTTTCACTTACTAGGTAGATACCCTGAAATATAACTCTGGAAGGCCTTTTATTGTTCTGTGATATGTTCACTACCCTGAGGTGTTTTATTACTCTTTAATGCCTTGAAACTCTGTGATGTTTCCCACTCAGCATGTCTGCTGATAAAAATTATGAAACTAAGGGAACTGAAGCTCAAATGGTTTAATGAGTAACTGGTCCAATTAGTCCAAGAAAAGTATAGACCAATGTGTCAAATATCTATACTTCTGCTGGTGAATTTTGGTTTTATAAATAGCAATGTCTGTTTAGCCAGTTCCTAGCCCAATTAGCTTGTTCTAGCCATAGATCCAAAGGAGCCAAATGTCCTGACCCATGCCTCGGATAACTACTTTGAAAGCTATGATGACCTAATGAACTCAGGAAGGAATTTTCCTGAAATAACATAGCCCATCATGAAAAGAAACATAGGGTTCAGGTGTCAGCCATAAAATGAGGACATAAAAATGCCTATTTAATTCCCATTTGTACTTTGGACTTGAGGCCCAGAATATCTTGAAGCCTTTGTTGCTAGTTATGGGATCTCATACATGAGAATGAATAAAAGAGCTTTTCAACTCTCTCCTGGGTAGACACTTGATCTCTTAACTGCTCAAAGAATTTTTGAATTTTTTTCAGTGCAACCAACCAACTTTTGGAATGGATTTAAGGTCCATTTCACAAAAGGGGAGGTATGACTTGTATTTGGTACTATGAGCCAGGGGCAGGGGGTAGGGGGAAACCTGTGGTTGGGAAAGTCATAGTCTTCAGTGGGAAGCAACTGCTATTGTTTTGTTGAATGCATGTGATGTGCCTCTCAAGCTGACTTCTAAGTATTTGTGTTTAGCCCCATATGTCACTGTTGCTGTCAGCTTTGGTTATAGAGGAAATTATTTACAATGTATCAAGGTTACTGCAGACTGATAACCAGTTAAATGTTAATACAGGGGACCCAGGCTTAGAAAAGGGATCATATACATATTACCCTTCCAAAGGTCAGGGAACATCACTGAAGAGGAAGCAGGAAAAATCTAAGAGGTCGAAGGAAAGCCTGACATGACCATCAGCCATCATGGAGAAGACATGATTTTGGGTCCACAGTCATAGCAACAAAATGAGCAGAACAAGACCATGAAAGAGCCAGGTTTATAGTAACAGTAACGGGGCTATTAACACACCGTAGTAGAAGAGGGAGGGACACCTACCCTTACTTAGGATTTTACCCACCATTTCTACTCTCCCATAGGTGCACAAGATCTTAGGAGAGGGAGTATCTACTAGAGTATACAGAAGTGAAAGATTAAGAAACTCCTTACCTATATTCCTTGTCAGCTAAATTAAACACATTGGCTCAACAAAGCTGGACTTGTATGGAACTGTTGTTTAGGTTAGTTGTTAGTTCCCTAGCTGGAATGAATATTCATTTATATCTCCCCAAGTAAAATAATGGAAAAATTAATGTCACATAGTTTTTTTTTTATTTTGTGTTTAGAATACAAGATATGAAGAATGTGTTAATTGATACATAATCATTTTGATTACATAGGAAAAATGATTAGAGTACTGGGAATATAGCTAAATACTTCCTCAGCATGCAAATTCAATCTCCAGTGCCACATAAAACAGAGCATGGTGCTTCATGTCAGTAATCATAGCATTTGGGAAGTGGTGACAGGAGGATCAGAAGTTCAAGGTCATTCTTGACTACATAGTTTTGAGGTACAAAAGACCCTGTCTTAAAATAGAAAAGGATAGGAGGGGAGAAGAAAGGAAGGAAAGGAAGATAGGGAAGTATAACCACAATAATGCTGCAGTGAAAGGAAAAAAATACTTTCTTTTTAATATTTATATCCAATAGTGTATGCACACATTTCTGCTTTAAACATGCAATCTGTTGTCTATTGCTGATTTGATGACAACAAAGTTCAACATAAAAATGTATCCCATTCAGATTTTCAATAGTCTTATTAGGTAGGCAACTTTCCAATCACAGATCTCATTCTAAGACAAGTTAATACTTGTCTTAAATAAGTTAATACTTAAATATAATATAGAAATCAGACTCATTATAAACCAGAAAAAAGAACAACCCCAGAAGAACATGTGATACCTACTACATAATTGGTCTCACTTCTTTCATTCCCTGTCTTTCTTCTTCTTCTTTCAATGCTAAGGTAAATGCTAGTAATGCGGAAGAGTAACTAGCAGACTTAATATGGGACAACTATGCATTTAAAAGAAAGCATATTTCCTAGGTAAGAAATCTCCAATTCTTTCCTTTTAGGGATCATGCTGGGCTTTGGGCAGGCTAGGCAAGTGCGCTACCACTGAGCTACATACATCTTCAGCCTTATTTTATGCTTTTGTTACTTTCTTATAAAGGAGTGCTTTATGTATAATACATGCAGATAAAAATAAATCCAGAAGCCTAAATGAGTATATCAAATATAAAATACAGCCATGAAGCAAACTGTGAGCAGCATGATTTTTAGGACATGTGCAAAATCTATTTACATCATTGTAGTTAGTAAAGAAATGTGCCAAAACTCCCTTTGCCATTCCATTTAAACTGGTTCCCTACAATTTCAATAAACATCTCCTGTGACATTATGTTGTCATCAGCTTGTGTGATTCCAAGTTCACTCAATCTTTTCTTCATCTGACCTTTTCGTGTAGAGGCAGCAACCAGTTCATTTACAATTTCACAATTTCCCTCAGCTTGTTCTGAAAAGTCAGCTCTGGCATAATACTCCATTTGGCCAGCTGCACACTGAAGCAGCTCTTCAAGATCCTCTCTTTCAGTGGCACAGGCCTCTCCACTGGTCTGAACTTCAAGTGCTTTATTATCTGAAGAAATAAATTATAACAAAGTTAAATATATAGGCTAATCCAACAGACATACTTCTTTTCTAAAATTTCATTATTTTTATTTTATGTGTATGAGTGTATTGCCTACATGTATATAAGTACACCGTGTTGTGCAGTGGCTGCAGAGGTCAGAAGAGGGTGTCAGATCCCCTGAAATGGGAGTTATAGATGGTTCTTAGCCACCATGTGGGTGCTGGGTATCCAACCTGGGTTCTGTACATGAGTAGTCAGTGCTCTTAACTGCTGGGCCATCTCTTCAGTCCCCAAAGACAAATTTCTAACATTCTGTTATGTCTTTCTGCCAAGGATTCCTGACTGGATTTTATAAATTCTTTGCTCTAAGAATCTCAATGAACAGCTACTTTGCCCTTTTTAAAGGCACCAATTTTGAACTTTGTTTACCCTCTTCCTAGAATCTCACTCACTCAGACATTTCCTATCTGCCAAGCCCTGCAGAGCTAGATACCTTCCTTCATTTGTTTATGTATATGAGTGATTTCTTGCATGTATGCAATTGTACTATGTGCATGCCTGATGTCTGTAGAGGCCAGAAGAGGGTGTCAGATTTCCTGGAACTAGAGTTACAGTCAGTTAGCCACCAAGTAGGTGCTGGGAGCTGAGCCCAGGTCTACTGCAAGAGCAGCAAGTGCTCTGTACTGAGCCAGTGTTCCCGCTCCTGATGCTACTTTTCTTTAATGAACTCCCAATCTATGAGCCAATTCTGGATTGGCCTCATGATTCTGAGGCCTAAGGGAGTACTCTCAGGATGGTTAAATGGAAAAGGATTTTGCATTACCATTTTGCAATGTGATTAAGGCTATTTAAGTCAGTTTTCTCTATCTAGTTGCAAAAGAAACAGATTCAAAGCATGAAAAATTGACTTGACTCTATGATTAGATAACTGGGACTACAGTATGATTCCCAGCAAACAGAGACCTTTGTCCTACAATCTATATCCATGAATTCTGCCAGGGAGTGACACAAATAAACTTGGAAGTCAATTCTTTCATCAGAACTTTCAAGGTTAAGAGTCCTATCCTGGGGCTGTAGAGATGGCTCAGTGGTTAAGAGCCCTGGCTGATCTTGCAGAGGACACAGGTTCAGTTGCCAGCACCCACATGGTGGCTAACAACTGTCCATAACTCCAGTCCCAGGTGCTCTGACGCTCTCTTCTGACTTCCACAGCATTGGGGCACTGCACAACACAGGTGCACTTACAAACACACAGGCAATACACTCACATACATAAAATAAAATATTTAAAAAAGAGTCCTAACCAGTTGACATTTCAATTTTATCCTATGTGTCCTGCAGGAAGGTAAATACTTCTGGAGAAATGAAACGAATGGATCCTGAAGGATGACAAGGCCTGCTCTTTAAATTGCCTCAAATTTTCAAGAGCCAAATCAATATGTCTTTATGACTGAGATCTAATAGTGATTTACATAATTACTTCCACTGTGTGCACTTAACTTTACTGCCAAGAAAGGTGCTGACAGGAAGGAGCTAAGTTCTACCAATGAAAAGTAAACTTCAGTCAGTAAACCCTTCTTCAAAGGTTCTTCCTTATTAGACTCTATAACAACATGCCTTTACCAAGCTTCTCTATTTCCATGACTAAGAACATTCAAGAATTTCCTTTTAAAGTAATTAATTAATTAGTTAATTAATTAATTAATTTTGAGGCAAAGTCTCTAGACCAGCTGGCCTCAAACTATGACCTTGAACTTCTGATCCTCTTGCTTTTTATTTCCCAAATGCTGGAATTAGAGACCTATGTTATATATGCAGTGCTAGGGAATGAGCCTAGGGTTTTGTGTGTGCTAGGCATGCACTCTATAGACAAAGTTGTATCCCTAGACTGTCAGCACTATTTTCAAGGAGATGAGAAAGGCTCAAGTCCTCATTAGAGTTCAGTGCTGAAATAACAATAAATTAGATCAGATCAAATTTTGCATTCAATAACTAAATACAATCTGTATATATTATTATTATTATTATTAAACTACTAAATATAGCATACCTTCAGTTTCACCTTGGGTATTTTCCTGTAGATCAGAGAAAATTGTAGGTTTCACCAAAACAACACCGTAACCTTCATTATTATGTATGATATTATTTACCATGGATATTTTGGGAATATCATAATGCTCATCTAGGAAGTCCTGTGAGATTGAAAACAAATGCCTTAAGGTATTGTTATATTCAATATTACATGACCTAAAAACTGTCTAATTTCTAGCTGGGTGTGGTGGTGCATGCCTTTAATTCCAGCACTCAGGAGGCAGAGGCAGGCAGATCTCTTTCCTCTGCAAGACCAGTCAGTGCTTTTAACTGCTGAGCCATCTCTCCAGCCCCATGACATTAATATTTTTGCATGCCTTTAATTCCAGCACTCAGGAGGCAGAGGCAGGCAGATCTCTGTGTGTTCCTGGCCAGCTGGGGCTATAGGCAGACCCTGTACCAAGACCTCTTTCCTTAAAATATAAAACTGTCTAATTCCATATAATTATATGACATTAATTTTTAAAAAAATATTTTATTATTATTTTTATTTTATGTGTATGAGTGTATTGCCTGCATGTACGTGAGTACACTCGTGTCGTGCAATGCCGTGAAGGTCAGAAGAGGGCTTTGGAGTCTCCTGAAACTGGAGTTAAGGATGGTTCATAGCCGCCACGTGGGTGTTAGGAATTGAACCCGGGTCCTCTGCAAGACCAGTCAGTGCTTTTAACTGCTGAGCCATCTCTCCAGCCCCATGACATTAATATTTTAAATATTTTATTTATTATTTTTATTTCATGTGTATGCATGTATTGCCTGCATGTAGGTAAGCACACCCATGTCATGCAATGCCTGCAGAGGACAGAAGAGGCTGTAGGATCCCCTGGAACTGGAGTTACAGAGAGTTGTTAGCTGCCATGTGGGTCTTCTGCAAGAACAGTCAGTGTTCTTAACCTCTGAGCCATCTCTCCAGCCCCGATATTAATAATTTAAATATTTGTAAATGATGTTTGATAGTAAGATGATCTTGTCTTTTCTTAATCACTTCTATTTTTCAGTTAAAATTTCACTATTCAGGTAAATTCCTATTCAAATATATTTTATGAACTTTGAACATAAATATATTCTCTAATATTTCCCATACTGTTTCTAAAAATAAAGTAGAAAAGGTATGATTATCAGTTTAGTAACAAGGTCAGAGTAACATAGCGTTTCTGTTATTTCTGCAGATCTCAAGGCACCAAAGGATTATCACAAGAGACTTTCAATCACTATTGATGTTACTAAAATTTAGGTACTATTTACACTTTACAAAACAAGAAAATAACAGAACACAGATGAGAATTTCATAAACATAACTTTTTAGGGGAAACCATTCTAATCTTTTGCAAAACTGTTTTTGTCAATGCTCACCTTAATAAGGATCCCTTCCTTGCAGTGATGGATTCCATTGTCACTCAGCGTACACTTACTTCCAGGATATATTTCTATACCAGCACCCTATAAAGTACAACATGAGGTTCTGAAGTTATTATAAGTAACTTTAAAAAGATATTTCCTTTTATTAAACATTTATTTACTTAGTGTGTGTCCGTGTGTGCATGCATGTACCATGGTGCACCTGTAGAGGTCAGAGGACAACTTGTAGGAGTCAGTTCTCTCCTTCCACCATGTAGGTTCCCAGAGATCAAACTTGGGTTTTCAGGCTTAACAACAAGCATCCTACCCATTGACTTATCTCACTGGCCCTTATTAGGTAGTTCTAATCAATATTTTTATTTGCCCCAAGCAATATTCCAAAGATCAACAACTATTGATCATTAACCACTTTTTTTTTGGGGGGGGGGGTTCTTTTTGAGACAAAGTCTCCCTGTAGCCCCAGCTGGCCTGGAACTCACTATGTGGACCAGGCTGGCCTGGAACTCACAGAGATCTGCCTGCCTCTGCCTCCCAAGTGCTGGGATTAAAGGCATGCACCACCACGCCTAGCCATTAACCACTTTTGAAACAATCATATTCATAGGGGGCTGGAGAGATGGCTTAGAGGTTAAGAGCACTGGCTGGATTATAAGAGCCAGAAATGGAGGATGCCCATAAGGAAACAGAGTTTTTCAGAAATCTGAGAAGTTACCCATAGGAATTCACAGCAATAGTAACAGACTGCACAAGACCTACATAAGCTCAAGCCAGGAAAGATTCCAACACAGAAATGGGTAAGAAGCTCCAACCCTAGCTGAGGAACAGATAGCTCCTGGAAGAGGGAGAGTCACACTTCTCTAACAGCGTGATCCTACATAAGTTAACCAGGCTTCAGTGGATGGACCCACATCGATGGGCATTTGGGGAACAAATTTGATTCTATAGGCCATAATATACATGAAAGATCACAAATTATTCTCTGCACATCTGTCTATTAAAAATGAGAATTAAAAACTTCTCATGACAAAAACAGACTAAAGGAATATATGACCACTAAGCCAGCTCAACAGAAGATATTAGAAAGAATACTTCAAACTGAAGAGAAAGATAAATACAACCAAGATGGCACAGGGAAAATGTAAACAGCACCAAAAGTATTCTTCAAAATGGGTTAAGAAAACAACACAAAATGAACAAAATGACAGGAATGAATACATGTATGTCAATAACTCATTGATGATCTCAATTCCTCACTAAAAAGACACAGATTTTCAAAATGGACTGGAAAAACAGGATCCATCTTTTTGCTTCATCCAAGAAACATACCTCACCCATGTATGCTGGGTTTTATGAAAATATCCCCCATAGGCTCCAAGTATTTGGGCACTCTGTTGGTACCCAGTTTGGGGTGCTATTTGGGGAGGGTCATGGAACCTTTAAGAGGTATAGCTATGCTGGAGGAAGCACACCACTAGGGGTGGGCTTTGAGAGTTCTTAAGCCTTGCAGGATTTCTAGTCACTTTGCTTCCTGTGCCTGCTTGAAGATATGATCTCTTGGCTTTCTGCTACAGCTACATTCTGTTGCCATGCCTCCCCTACCATTATGGACTCTTACCCCTTTGGAACAGTAAGCCAAATAAACTCTTCCTTCTAAAAGTTCCCTTGATCATGGTATCTTATAACAACAACAGAAAAGTAATTAATACACCATCAAGGATAGATAATTTCCTCAGGATGGAAAAGGGTACTCTAAGCAAACGGAACTCAGAAACAAACAGGAGAATCTATTCTAATAAGCAACAAAAATAGATTTCAAACTAAATCTAGACAGAAGAGATAAAGAAGGTCACTTCATACAATTATAATTCTAAACATGTGGAACATTCTACCCAAACACTAAAGAATAAACATTCTTCTCAGGATCTCATGGAATCATCTCCAAAACAAATCACATGTTATGATGCAAAGCAAGCCCCAACAAATATAGAAATACTGAAATAACATCCTGTATTCTATCAGACCACAATGGAATAAAGCCAGAGACACTATAAAAAGCACACAAACTCATAGAGTTTAAATAACATACTACAGAATTACAAATGGGTCACTGAAAAAAAAAAATATATACAAAATGTTTCCTAGAACCGAATCAAATAAAACACACAACATACCAAACCTATGAGATACAATGCAGTCAGTCCTACCAGGAAAGTTTATAGCTCTAAATGTCCACATCAAAAACTCCGAGACTGCTCAAATAAAAAAGTTTATCCTTATGGCCTTATAAGAACAAACCAAACCTCAAACCAGCAAAAAGAGATAAATAATTAAGATCAGAGCAGAAATCAATGAAATAGAAGTGAAAAAAAAATTACAAAGAATCAGTGAAATGAAGAACTG